CAAGTTGTTCCGGTGCGGGACGTTTGCAACCGTCCGCACCGCCTGCAGCGTCGACTCCCGGAGTCGACACGCCATCTTTACCTCGACGCCTGTTATTGGCGGAGCCCTTTATTACAAGGGGTACGTCGACTCTCGGAGTCGACGCGAAATTCCTTTTCGCGGCGCCGGTTCCCGGAACCGTCGCGACTTTAATACCTCGACGCCAACCATTGGCGGAAACCCCCATTACGTAGGGTGCGTCGGCTCCCCGAGCCGACGAATCAAATTCACCCAAGCCATCGACTCCCGGAGTCGACGGCGCTTCGTCACCTTGGCTCTTATTATTGGCCAAAACGGATCCAATTAGATTCACGTCAGCCTCCACGGCTAAGGCGTGTGACTCGCCTGCGTCATCCGTGCCCCGTGAGCTCGGAGACTCTTTCTGATTCGCTGAAAAGCGGGTGTCGATCTCCGAGATCAACACATTTTCTCCTTCAGCCGTCGGCGGCGACGCCGACGCTTGCTGCTCTTGCGCGCGCGCCCAGGGCGCTCCGGGACAGCGGCATTAGGTGCTGTCTCGAGTGGGGAGTCGCGCGCATCTGTCGGTGCGTGCGTAGCGGCAACAAGGCCATCGCTCACTGTACCGCTGTCGCGACCGAAGCGCACGAGTGTGCGCTTCTCCCAATCGATGACCGGATCATGCCGTGCAAGCCACGCCATGCCCAATACAATGTCAAACTTATCACCCAGATCCAGGACGATAAAGGTCTCGACAAACGCTTGATCTTCATACGTGAAGCGCACGCGCACCATGCGCTTCCCAGTCTTCACGACGGCACCCGTTGCCAGTCGTACCTCCAACATACTTCGAGGTATCTTTACCTCCTCGAAGTCAAGCCTTGATAGACTTCGCAGTCGAACAAAGTTGTTCGACGCGCCCGAATCAACCAAAGCACGAAGAGAGTTGCTCTCTCTCTTCGAAGACACGTCCAAGATGACAAGGTTCGGTTTGTCATCATGCATTTTGCAGTGAGAAGGGTCCTCACTGGGGGCTGCAGTCCTCAGTGTCGCATGTCCGAGTTGGACACGCGTGACTACTTCACCAGTAGGGCGCCCCGCGCCTACTGAGTTCCAGCGTTTTTTGTTTGTCCGCGACGATGCCGGGCATCATCGCGTCGACCACCATCTCGGTGCAGGGGTGCCGTGCACTCTCGGGCATAGTGACCGATCCTTCCGCAACGGAAGCATCGTACATTACTTCCTTGTTGCTGTTGATAATCAGCAGCCGTTGCATTCGAGAGGTCCATTGGTTCCGGACCTCCCGCTATCGCAACCGGAGGCGGTCGCAGCCTCGGCGCATTCGCATGCAGCTTGGCCTGTCGCAGGCTAAACTCCTCATGCATTGCAAAAGTAATTGCAGCTTCGAGAGTACTCGGGTACTCACGGAAGAGATAGGTCTTCACAGGCCCATCTCTCAG